GGGAACCGCGGAAGTGCACGGCACGCACCTGTCGAAACGAACGAATGTCTTTCATTCGCCACGAAACCGTGACAAGAAGGGACATCGGCCTGTTATTTATACCGAAGCAATTTTTGCCCCCGTTGCCGTCACACGGTGCGACACCGGGAAATGGAGCTAACTGTCAAGATTATCTTTGTGGGACGACAGAGAAACGCGATATTTCCATTCCTTCGCTAGAGACTTTATAACTATAACGTCTTAAATAATTAATAAGTTTGCATATGTCACATAGATATCACCTCGTTTCGCAGAATTTAAAATGGATATGTATATCAAATTTAATTTAATATTTGAAGTTAATTAAATGAACGAAAAACTAAATAAAAATAATTAAATTAATTTATAAGAAGAAGCAAACTTAGCGTATCACGTAAGATTTTAATTTATTGTCAAAATATATATTTTATATTTCAATTCTGTTTAAAGTAAAAATTTTAAATTTGAAATAAATGTTTCGTAAATCTCTTTTTCTATTAATAATATAATTCCCCAATAATATAAATAAAATTAATTAGATATTTATGCTATCAGACTTTGTCAGTAACAGATGTTGAAATAAGCCATTTGTCAAACGTTACTCGGAAACCGAAAATGTTTAGATGAAGACATCGTTTTACTAATACGCGCAGGTCGTAAAACCTCTCGGATGCGCATCTGGAAGCTCGCAACGAGTGACGAAGGACCGGAAGAGGATGCAAGAAGAGGGCCGGAGGGGAAAGATCTTAAGAAGATAATCCTTTCAACCGGTTGATTTATCAGTTCCACGAATTGAAACACATAGTCAATTATCCACGTTAATCGAAGTAAATTTATCGAATAGACAAATTGAAATATTCCAGCGTTATTTATAACGGCAATCGCTTGTGCTTTTCAATAATCTAGTAGCTTTAATATCTTTACAGCGCCGCGATAATGTAACTTTGTATTAGATGTTCCGAATAATACAAATTACATGTATAGATTAAATATTTTCTGTATTCCGTTTACATCACACAAGTTTTGACTTAAAGATAGCAGAAGAGCGAGTCCCGCAACGGTTTCCGCGGACATTTAATTCATGCGAAGGGACGTATACTTTCGCCCGAAGATCCGTCAACATTTCTCTCACACTTTACTCGTGGCCCTTCCGTAGCGAAATGTGGCACTCGACCGGAATTGTCACCGTGCCGAAACAATGGCTCGAAAAATATTCAGCACCTCGTGTTTTTTTCTCTATTTAACAGGCGGGAGAGGCCTTTTTCCGTTCTGACGGAACTCTGCCGGAGAAATAGAGTGTGGGCGAGGGCCTCGAAAAAAAAAAAGGAAAAAAGTTGAATTCCCGTGGGGATGCGCCTCGGAACGACTCGTGCGGAAAAAAAAATTCGTCGAGCGCCTCGCGTGCGTTTTCCACGGCGTTTTCCCCGCCACGTTGTCGTCGTTCGCCACCTCGTTGTCGACGGAAAATAATGAAAATATTGACCCACGCGAGAACGACGGCGCATTATCCGGACGTTTCCCAGGGCCCGGGGATCTGTACCAGTTACATCATCGTCGTCGTCTTCGTCGTCTTCGTCGTCTTTGTCGTCTTCGTCGTCGTCGACAACGGGCTGCGTGAGTGTTTCGGTGGGAGCGGCTTTTAACGCCCGGTTTTTCGTCTCCTAAGCAAACAGACCTTCCGGCGATGCTGAGGTCCGCGCTTCTTTTTCCACCGTGTGGAAGCACATGTCCGCTTTATCCGCCCCCGCGTGACCATATTACGAGCGATCGGGCGAAGAGTAGCCGTCCACGTTTTTCAGGCTCGCGGCCATCGACAAATATTCCACTTGTGCCGGGTACGTGCGTAAACAAGCCGCGCGACAGCCCGAGTCATCTCGCGTTCTTCGGGGCGCACATGCGGCGCTTCGAAAGCATTCATGATCACGACGACTTGTGGAGCGATTGTGCGGAGCAATCGTGAGGTATTGAGGAATTCGGACAATAAGTTACATGAAAGGAATTCGTGGCACAAGGGAAGGACTAAAAATACATATATATTTTTATATTTTCTTCTGCAATTTGAATAATTCACGTCACATTGAATTGTGAAAATTTCGGTTAAGCTAGAGATAAGCACCAGTCATCTTATTGATTCGTGAATTTTAGTCAACAGAGTCACACGAGAGGATATTTAGAGAGCTTTAAAATTTTGAAAATGAGATCTGAATGCACGCTCGTTGAACTATCAGCTTGTCCGCATAAATGCGGATGCTAGGGAAGTGCATTCGAATAAAGTGCATGCAATACGATGAATTGGCCGCGATAGAAACTCACGATGGCGCAAAATCGCGAATGCTATTGAATAGCGAGCCACACAATGTCACATTTGCAAACTGTAAATACGTGAAATGTTGAACACTTATATAAACGAATTAATACAATGTTACATCTATATATCAACCTAGCGCACGCACGCGAGCGCGCGCGCGCGCGCGTGTGTGTGTAAATGCTGGGAAATACGCAAATTCACATTTAATCTGCCTTTCGCAAGCTGCCATTCTTGTACAGATTTCCATGTGTTATTTCTTTAATTTGACTTTCACTAAATATGTAGATCAGACAGGTGAAAAGAGATGTTATCTTAAAATATTTCTAAATATGACATCACGTTACAGTGAAATTAAAAAAAGAGGTTGAATTAAAATATTAATTTGGTTAAAAACGAGGAAAAATGCAATATTATACCATATGCTTTTAAATATCTGTAAAGGGGTTATATTATTTGCAGCCAGCATATTTAATTAAATTCTATTACGCTTTCTCGAAATAAATCTGCATGTAAATAGTTGTTGGCTAGAAATATGTTTATTACAGCATTTATAGAAGTAAACTCATAATTAATAAAGATAACGCATGGATTCGCTGATGTTTGTTATTAACAACGCAGAAACAGCTCTACTCGCGATAATATCAACAAAAAATAGAAATAAATTTTCCACCGCGGCATCAACTGCAACCTTTAAACTTCACAACACAAAATCACCGAGATCCAGCGCTTTCCTTTTCCCATTTCTATGCTCGGAACGTGCTTCTGAAGGCTTGTAAAAATGGCACGAGCAGCGTGACTCTGTCGGCACCATTCTACTGTATTTTCCGTCCTAATTATATCCCACCCCAATGCAAAACTCGTTACGGTCATCTCTCCACTATCGCGTCGTCTTGCATTAACCTGCAGATAATGTTTTGCTCGCTTAATTACAATGGCAATTTCGTTAATTAGGTCAGGCACGTATGTTGCTATAACCATGGCCATGTAATCATATATTTGAAGCAGAGTTCGATTTACATTCGGTTGTTTACCTCTTCCCTGACTTTAAATAAAATGATTTAATCCACAAATGTAACATTAATAGATTTAGAAAGTTGATATTAAAATTTTAAAAAATATCGCGCGTTGATTTTAATAAAAAAAGTTTTTATAATAAATAAAAATAATTTCAAGATTACATCATTTAAGATTAATTTTAGTTTAAATTGGTAGATATATTACGTTACACTTCTTTTTAATTCTTTGCACTTTTTGTCCTGTAATCGGTTTTATATGCCAATAATATGTTTTAAGATTGTTCGAATATTGACAGAAATGGAGAACGACGTAATCAGGTCGGTAATATTACGATGTTAATTTTGTTCTCAATCGAAAATATAAACGTTACCTGTTCTTTAGTCAGCAAAAACATTTTAACTTTATTTCGTAAGAACGAATTATTAATTCAAGATTGTTATTTGACTTTTACTTAAATGCAAAGGTACATTAATTTTATATTAAATAATATTTTTAAACTATACTGAAGAAATATGAAAATAGCTTTCTAAAGCATAAAAAATAAATCAATTCCGCTATATCTTCCGTATCAAAAATACTTGTTAAGACCCGTTTCATTAATTCGCCAAATTAAAGTTGCAAAAAAATATTCCTACTTTATTAAAACTTTTATAATACCCTTCACGATCCTATCTGCGATGACCAACATACGCACGGTGTGAGCACGGTTTTTCATTCTTCCTAGCAGCCGCACGATGCGAATGAAATTTAATGTCAAAATTCTCTGTAATTCAAACCTTTGGAACATCATGCGATCCGCGAGCTTAATTATTGCAGCTTGCACAACTTGCAAATGCTTAGACGTGCACCGATGCGGCTTGGCGTGGAACGTAGCGTCACGCAGCCTACATTACAAATTGGATATTATGCAATTACCTAGCGATTAAATTAGGCGTTGCTGACGCCGCAATGGTTGCGCTTGTACGCAACACGTACCGCTGTTCCTACGTGTAGCCGTGAACGTACCCGCCTGTAAGCAACCGCACTCACAAAGTGCCCTCAACAATACGAGCGTTTACTAAGCTCGCGAAATACTTTGTTCCACAACGAGCTGTGACTAATTACGAAACGTCGTTAAGAACATTCTCCGCGATTCTAAGCGCCCGTCGTTGCAGAAAGATAAATTGCATTTTACACCATCTATTTTACATTGTACGAGCACAAAACAGAAACGCTTTAATATGCCGCTAATGTGTCAAAGGGGGTAAACTTTAAAATCTAGTTTCTGTAAAACGATCCAAGTATATTCTGTGATATTTTCGCGTCAAACAATGTAAAAATTTAGACGGTGGAAATTATATTTATTATGTAAGGTTTAATTTTGTACAACTCTTTTCGTATTATCACATCTATTTTAATTCAATATGAGGCAACCGATTAAAATACGCTTGTTCGCTTTTTCGACTTTTTTTCGAACTCGGATGTATTTTACGGCACGGAGTCTTTCACGCAGTTGAAAGATCGACGAGGGCTCAAAGGATTGTCGTTTTTGCGTTTTTATTCTCCCCGCTTTCGTTGAGACCATTAAGGCCAGCCAGTTGGGTGGCCGATTTTCACCGTTGGTGTCGTCGTTCACGCGTATGTCTGTTGCTCCGAAAATAGTCGCACTCGCAATGCACATAACCCGATATTTCTGAAGCTGTCGGTTCCTATACTTGGAAATTCTCGGAGGTAACGATATTTCTGTCGGGCGTGCGCGGGTGGTCCTCGCTCGTGGATATTCACTATCGACATCGGAGGAGGATGATTGAAGTCGGTGATTTAAAATTTACGCGAGTGCCGACGAATTACATAAATATTGCCACAATAATACTTCCGAGTAAGTTGCCGTAACAATATTTTAGAGTAAACAGAACGATTTAGAAGATGTATCATTGTATCATTAGACTAATTAGTTTATTTCAAGTTATTGCAGTTACGTGTGTAATTCTGCGTTCGCGTCTCGTGATAAATTATTCAATTATATTCCAGTTCAACCGAATTAAAATTTGATTTCTGTCACCGTGTGTATTCAACGGAGCGACAACGAAGTGCGTTCGCTATCGCGCAAATCCGGGAAAATAAAAATGCCATTACGAGACGTTCGGAATAAAAACAACGGGGACCGCGGCGACGAGAGACGTAAGCGCGAAATCGATTTAAAATACTACATGCCGTCGTGGCGCGCGTATACGCGTATACGGAAAAATCGACGCATCCGTCTTGGCGGCCGCTGACGGATCGTTTGATTGCTTCTCATACATATCGCGGAGAAAAGCATTTGCGAGGAAGATTACCCCTTGCTGAGATGCTCCGGGGTGGGTTCGAAGGGGAATACGCGATAACGTCCCGAAACGAGCTTCACAGGGGCTGGCGGGAGCCTGTTTTGTTATTTATGGTTGCATTACCGAAAGCGGCGTAAGGACAGTAAGTGCGTGGGAGATGCCGCGTGCGAGACTAAAGTATGTATAAAGTGGAGAAGCACATTTTTACGACGCCACGCTGAGCTTAATCCGCCTCTACGATCGATTTCACCCGCGCTCACTTCTACCCGCTTTCTCACGCGGGGGTCGCGCCATTTTACGCTCCTCGTATGTTAGCGGCGGATCGCAGCTGTAACAGTGAACGAATATTTTCGTAAACGTGGCTAACGCTACCGTCGGAGGAACATATTGCCATAAAAAATAATTTCATAACTCATATTGTAGTAAAGTTGTAGAAAAAAAATGCACAGATCAATGAAGTAGCAAAATCGTCTTCACTCAGAAATGAAGATACATTACTGTTATCGACGTAATGTTCTATAGTACTTATTTAATAGAATATTAGAGATTCATATTGCGGAAAACATATTAAGAAATTATCAGTATATTGTGTCATAAATTGTAATACGTGAATATCGATAAAAATAATTAATTAAATATTGGATATTTCAATATCACAAAACAATGAAATATATTTTCGACTTATAGTCTGCATGTTATTGTTAAAGATATTTGCGCTCAATTATTTGCCATAATTATTTTAATATTTTATTATCATCTATAATTTCTTCTATCAAACTCTCCTACTTTATCGTCTACAAAATATATGTAACCTACAGCTGCATGAAAGCACCGTTAAAAGATAAGTAGGCAGCGGTTGACACGACCGAAGAGAGCAGAGATACGCGATGGGACCTTAATTAAAAGAATCTTCGTTTACTCAGTCTAGAGTGCCAATCACCGCGTTTAATTACTTGCCACTTTTTTATCATTTAAACTTTTCATTGGGAGTTAAGGAAATTTACGTGCGGCCCTCATTAACGTTTATCAACGTCAGCCGAGAGTCGAAAGTACCAGCTACTCAACGATTAGAAGCGAGCGAGTTTGTTTCGTCCACGATATGCTAATGAGGCTTTCCTTCGCTATGTAACGTTCACCTTTGTAACAAGCGATAGAAAGGCGACGTCACCACGAACGCAATCTCGTCTCCGTCACGATATCATTGCAATGCATCGCAGTAATTTGTCAAGTTCCTTAAGATTTCTAGACACGATTCAAAGTACGCTTTTTGGTTTGTTAACCAAATGTTAACCAAATGTTTTCTTATTTATTTATATATAAGTGGAAAAAAGAACAATATTTAAAAAATTATATTATATAATAGAAATTTATGAAATATATGTATCTAAATAAAATAAAGCGTTCTATTTTCATATCTAGAAAAAAAGTGATAGAAGTACGTGAATAAAGTTTGCTTGTATTATAAAGATAAGCAATAGAATTTATAATTGTAAAATTATTCTTAGTACTCAAAAACATAGAATTATTCATGGAGAAAGAGATTTGCGGAAGAACATAATCGCGAAGAGATGCGCTGTGTGTGTGTGCGATATCCGAAAATTGATTTAAAATAAAAGAATATTACACATACGGCTTGGAGTGTTTTTGCACTTCCCCGCGTTTTGAAAATGGAGCGTAAGCTATTGTCAGGGTTGCTGGAATAACAAACTCGATCGACTCTACCCTTTGTGGGGATAGCCCAACCATCGCGACTGTCGGAGAGCATTTTGAAACGGCAAGCTCTCCTTTCGATCATAACCTAGTCACGTTTGCGAAAGAAAGCTTCCGACAAACACTGCTTGGTTTTGGAGACGGATACACTTCAAATGTCAACGACGTGACGTATCTTCGCAGATCCCTCCTGGCGTGAGCTTGCTCGGGGTGTATTTGCAAAGGCTCAGGATTGAAACTTATAGAATAATTTTCTCGCGCAGTATATCATTTGGCGAATACGCTATAAATTCTGTTCTTTGTTCTATGCAATTATCAAAGATATATTTATAATTGTAAGAATTTCGATTACTTTCTCGATTGAGTTTTCCTAAGAGCCTCCGTGACGATCTTAAGAAGAACGGAAGAAGAAGCGTTTTTAATTGGAGAATCACTATTTGTGCTCGTCGAACGGAATGTATAAGTCATTGAGGTCAAGTGGCAAGGTCTTCACGAATAATTTAATAAGAAAGAAGTGAGGAGAGATAAAGCGGGATATAAAGAGACAACGAACTCAAAGACATCGTTCATTAATTTACGAAAGAAACGTGATCGTTAGAGGCGGATTCCTCCACAGAGGAATCGCGGAATGATACGTTAAAATACACATTGTCGACGCCACGGAGTAATGCCGCTGGACACAGAACAAACGACAATGTTATCGTTGTGGGACGGTAGGCCTGCATATAAATAGTGATACGGCAATATGGTACTAATTTATTGCCGAGCCCCACGGAGATCCGATTTCACTCCCTTACCGTTTCCCCTCCACCCTTTCTTTCTTGCGTGCTAGCCGTGAATGCCACTATTGTGCATTATGACGCGTAATTCCGGCCGCAATCACGACCAGATCGTCTTGCAATTTCGTCGGTGCCGTGAGTTTGCCGGTCGAAGGAAGAACGGTTGCAATGAATTCTTTAAGTGTAACATGAGATTCGTCGTCGGATTCGCATATGTAACTACCGATAATTACGATGCGAAATTACATTTCTGCACGATTAAAGTACAAAAAAAAAAGAGATAACGTTAATAACAATTAATAATGCATCAATCTGTATACATTCCACAAATTCTCATACGATTTAAACTAATCTTATATTGCTGCAAAAGTTAACTTTAGGATATTATCTGCAGAATTACATATATATAATTTATATAGTAAAACGAATAATGGGGAACATCAAGTAATTATTTCAATATTATAACCCGCAAATGTAAATAATATTAAGGCAATTAATAAAAATGACTTTTTGTAAATTTCAAGAATAACGAGGAGAGTAACGCACTACGCGAATATTATGCCAAGCGAGCGTATAATGTATCCAACAGCGTTAACTTCCTAATCAGAAAATAATTAATGATTTCATTTCTGTACGCCGCGCCGTAACATGGGCTACGTACTGCTTACATTATTCACGGACAATCGCTGTCAATCGAGCGAACGGTTCCCGATTTATGAAACTCTGAGCAGGTAATAGTCGCAAAACTAGTAGTTTGCAATAGTGGCGTGCGACATAACGCGTAATAGTCTCGCGATTCTGCGAGACGCGCGATAACATCAAAGTATCGCGAGAATTTTCTCCGCTCGAGGATATCGCTGAATTCGTTTCCGAGAGAAAAAGTATCGATGCACGAATAACGAAGCACTTTGAAAATCGTAGAAGCTGCAGCGTTCTGGGACGCGCATCTAGGGGTGACTCGATAAAAGGAATATCGCGGTTGTAAACACCGAGCTACCGGTTTACACCTGTGCATGCTCGCGCATACAAAAGCGACTGCATTCACGATAAGCTCGGCGCTTTCTAGTGTTCGGAGTGCTCGTTGATGCTATTGGCAAGTAAAGAAAATCGATCGTTATCGAGAGAGTAATTCTCCATCTTTTTCGACGAGATATTTCCATTCAAAAATTATATTGAACGTTACTTGACACTTCTCTTTCCAAAATGGAATAATGGAGCTTTTATGAATAAAATGAAAATTATCCGTGTCCGCGGATACATTCATATTGCCCATTATATTGCGTGCGGACGTCGCTTACATATTGATGCTCACTACTGGTTCGTATCTCTCTCGGCATAGTCAGCCGAATCTTTAACGATTCCCAGAGGTTCTTGCCGCACAACGCTAATGGAGCTGAATATCTCAATACCTATCTTAATATCGTTTCTCCCCCTTGTATCCCACCGTATTTCAACCGGCTTTGCTTCCTTCTTGGCCGCCTCCCTCCTACGTCTTTAGATTGGAACAACCGAGTGAGTCATTCCGCGAAATCGTTTGGCATAAACATGTCTCGCAGATACCTGGTAGTCAGCATGAATTACCAATATCAAAGATAGCGCGGGAGACTCAAGACGTTTACTTTGGACGGACATTAAGATAAAACGCGGACAAGAGAGGCCTTTCATATCAGAACGCGATAGCATTCACTCTTACAACCGAACGCGTAAAGTACGCGACAACAATGCGAGAGCCGCGAGCTTCTGAAAAGCTCATCTAAAAAAAAGTGTGATGTGTTTCTTGCAAGCCAAATTGTCGAAATGCATTCTCAAAACAGAACGTTTTATGATCGTTGTCAGCGAATTAGATGAACGAAATAATGGATCGCGTTCCCGAATTTTCGGAGAGGCGAAAGCAAACGCGAAAATCTAGTTTATGGGATGATTGCCGCCACGTGATCCGCCATCATCGGGATTGTCACGGTATGATCAACGCCAGTGTACGTTGTCTCTTTTCAATGATTGAGGAGAGGGGGGGGGGGGTTCGTTGAATGGTTGTGGCACAGGGAGGTGGGGTCGCAAGAGCAGGGGAATGTATTTACATGTACACAGAGACAGCAAACAAGCATAGCGCTGATTTAAATAATGTGTCGCCAAACAGAATTCTGCAGAGGTGCGATGTAGTCGCTCTTTTATTAACGACCCGAAATCTCTCGTTCATTTGAAATATCGATTTGACGCGGTATATATACTCGCGGGCAGGAGAAAATTTAACACATTGCAAAAATAATATCGCGCTCAGACGTATCGCGACAATAATAGATCGAATCGTGCACCGGGGTCGCTCACTCGATTTCAATCGTTATCGTCTCGAATTGCCATTATTTCATAACCGCGTATTCTGTTTGAAGCTTAAAGCAGGTGTGACGTGATTACACCGCGCGTAATAATTTCACTACGTGCCCCACATCGTAACCCGTTCGCCCTCGGATCCGCGGTTGCGCTCGCCGCGATGTATCTATCAAAGTATCCCACATACCGCATTAAACCGCTCCGAGGTACCGGATCCCCACGTCGTCGTTTCGGTGCCGCGCCGAAGGTGAATGTGCACCGGTAGACGGGACGTACAAGATTGGGGCGAGAGAAACGGAAGATGAAAACAAGCGTTCCCAACAATAGGAAGCTTCACGAACGCCCGACGACGGGCAAAGGGAGCGCGGCGTGCTGCTGCAGTCACGGTGGATGTTCCGCTGGGCGAAAGGGACAAGAGGGAGAAGGTGGGGGGGGGGAGGGACCGCTGTCGTACGAAGAGGGAAATTAATACGAAGTAGTATCATTGTCTCTCATTTCGCATCGTCCCCGATCCCAGGAACTCCGAGGAATTGTGGTCGGACCTGGTAACGGGAAAGTTGTAGGAGTCGGAGGCAACCGTGGATAATGACTTTTTGATTACAAGACTCGTCGTCAACGGGCATCGTCGACGACAACGACGACGACGACAACGACGACGATGGCGACACCGACTACGACAACAGGCACGAGAACGATGAGAAAAGAATGGAGAGTCGGCGGAGGATAGCGGATCAGGCAGCCGGATCATCTCTGCTACCAAACGATAAAAGTTCCATCTGTGCGCGCCTTTCGTATCTTTTTTTGGTGCCCTTTTTAGTCGACCGTCCATTAAAAGTCATGTCATCTGCGCAACGGGCTTTAGACGTACGACGACCTACATTTCGCGATCTCCGATCGCTCGATCGGAGAGTATTAGAAAAGAATTACGTCTTCGAGTCACGAACTACTTCGTGCCACAGGTTGACCCATTCGCCAAGTATTTATCTGGCAAGTGCATCGGTAACTTTTCACATTTCTTCTCGTACCGATATGTAGTCAAGAAAAGTTTGCGATTTCGCGATTGTTCCAAATATCACGTTATTTTTTTATATGTCATGCTATTTTGGAGAAATAGCATTTCGTGCTGTTTTAAAAGAATATGATAGATATCATTTCTATATACGAATATGAGAGAGTTAAAAGTTAGTGAAGGCACGCTTATCGCTTTCTATTATCGTCCAATTTCATATACTATTAATTTTTCCACTATTTTTCACTATTTTTGTTCTATAATGGTTTTATGAAACTATAATACGTACTTGCTAGTCGCTGATTTAGGTAAAACGTTGGTACTGGCCTCTGATGTACGTAAACTTTTATATACATACCTGTAACATACAAATAAAAATTGACATTAATCGTAATGTATAATTTTAAATAAATATATGTAATTTCTTTGATGTGTGACGAGAGATATATAAATTATTATGTGAAATAAACATGTTTAGAGACGTCCGAGCGCAGTAATCGCGTCTGAAATATACTATGCAGATAAATTTGCAGAATATCGGGCAAGGCTATAACTCTCCTCCCCCTCTCTCTCTCCCTTTCTTGGCGTCTATAGCAGCGATTCGAGGATCATGCAGGATTTCATATCGATGTAACGCGCTATCTGGCTAGCTACGAGTGGAAAGGACACAGGGGGGATCTGAATCATTGGGAGATTCCACATATCTCGTATTCGTACCCGTAGTATCGGAGACCCTCGGAATTGTATCGCATTCGCGACGATAAATAAGCGAGGACAATACAGGACGCACACCGTACGGTATCGTTCCCCGCCACCGCGCTGGACACGTACGGAACCCATAAAGCGAGATGATCTTCTTCCTCCATTCCTCTCTTCGTGGGAGCACGCGCTTCATCTGACGTATGGGATCACTACCGAAAGCCATAGATAATCGGATGCGATTCTGTCACACGAGAGGTACGCGCGCGCGGATGGGAACGTCGCAGCTTCTAGATTGCTCGCCGAAAAAAATGTCTACCGCACAAATGCGGCACAAATTTGTAACGCGTATAGAGGTATAACTGAAATCTTCATAGATACGTAAAGAAATATAATTTAAAAAATTACATTTATATAAATTAAAAAGTGCATCTAAGACGTAGAAACCTCCTTGACCTTTGTTGTCAAATGTAATTTCTTAAGCAATTAACATTTTACTAATTTACTAATGTCGAATGTCTCTAATTCTTAAAATATGACGAAAAATTCGAACTTCTTTTTTGTTAAACAGATCATCGTTAACTGTTAAAATCAATTTGCTGAAAAGATAACAAAATTTACTAAATGCGCAAATGTCAAAATCGCTCTTGTGAAAAAAATTAATTTTCGTACTCGTCAGTCTGTGTTATGCGGGCACTAAATTGAAAACAATTTTTGATAAAAACTCGGTATCGGCGAACGAGAAGGTGGATGAATGAGCGAATGAATAAAACAACTGTAGGAGTGTGAAAACTCCACGGGATTATACGAGTATCTCGTGGAGAAAAATATTAAATGATCAGAAATAATGTACCACTTTTGACAAAGTGGAGCATTGCAAGTAAAAATTCTTCAGGGATTGTACCATATAAGCGCGAGCGATTTTTACAATTGTCGTAACAATGTGTGTACGCGGTGTAAGTTAAATACGAAAAGTTAAGTCACGGGTACCTCGTTGACCCAGGTTCATTTAGCGAAAAAGTTTTACGACTGAAAACGAGCGCGAGAAAACCGAGGAAACGCGCGGAAGGCACATATACACACACATTACACATACAAGGCCTCGTAAAAAAAGTAATTGCACGCAGCAGATCATATGGCCGGTTTTAACGTGGCAATGCGTGACATTTGGTCACGGCGAATGTAATAAAGTCGCGTTTACGCCCCCAACGTGAAAATTTAATATAAAACAACAATAAATGGAGATGTTCTGTTAAATCTGACACGCTAAATCGAAGTTACATTGCCAGATGTACGATCACTTTGTTAATAAAATTTATTTAATTTTTTTTTAATAAGAAATAATGTACTTTTAAACATTTCTATCAGTTGCATTGAAGCTTTTTTATTTTATAAATTTCAAAGACAGTAATTATATGTGTTTAAATATTTCAAAATATATGTATACATAGAAATCCTATTTTATTATATATTCGGATAATTTTATTCAGTTTCAAATTCTTAGCAATTTTTTGACAAATATAATATTTTACTGTCCATTACCGTTATGGTAAAAATGACCTAAGATTTTCAATTGCAGGGAACAACAATTGCGTTGAAATCAAGACAATGGGACAGAAGTACGATATCTCCGCGAGCTTTCACCTGCAAGTTTTCGCGCACAATGGCACGAAAGCAGGATCCCGTCCGTCTTTCACCGTTTGTTTGCGTACAATCGCGTGACGGGACACTCAATCTACCTTCGACGAATCGCTCTCGTATCTACGCGAAGATCGTAGCGTATAAAGATAATCGCGGTACAAACTACACGCCTTACATATCTCCGGTCAGAAATTACGTCTTCCAGGTAGCGCGATCAAGTTTACGAGCGGGGCGACGCGAGGTACGTAATCGTCTCGTAAAAGCCATAATCGCGAGGCCTACATAAAATCCCTTGCGCGCACGAGATCTTGAAACACCTTGCCACTAATCCTACCCCCGTGCCCGGGATTCCGCCGTTACTTCCTACGTGCTGTATTGCTTGGGCTAATCCCAGAGAAAATCGTATCGTCATCGAGAGCGCTTCCATTGGATCGCTCGAACTTTGGAAACCTCGTGCTTTCTTGTTCAATAAATAAGCGCACGATGGGATACAGTCTCTACTCATTCAGATTTTTTTATATTTTAAGTGGAAAACTAGAGTTCAGTATTTTGATTTTAATATTGCGAAACACAATTTTTGAATTTTAATGTAGATACACTAAGGTAAACGTACCAGTGCAGGCTGAACGTGTATCTATGTCTGAACAAGTACACAAAGATTTATTTTTAAATGATTTTTTTCATAATATTATAATTTAATTGTAACCTTTAAATATTTTTACAAATAAATTTTGATATTATAATAAAAAAAGTATTTGAGATTAATAAATTTTGTGTACGTGTTCAGACATAGATACATGTTCAGCCACTGCTACGTTTACCTTAATGGACGTCTCAAAGAAAGTCATGTCACTCTCCTGTTAGAGAAAGCGTAGCTATTCGAAGATGAAATAATCGTGTCAATATATTTTATTCATTGTCGGCAAATATTTAAGCTGCCTAATTAAATCACTGACTAATTAATACGTGCAAATGGTGTCGCAAACACGTATGTAACCTACGATATACGTATTTATAGTTCTTCCAAATATCGCGCGGACCAGTTTAATTTCTCCGAACTCTAACAAATTATTGCTTTTGCATATTATAATGCCGCGCGCCATTCGCCATACTGTGCTTCTTCGTATCCACCCACGGCACGTAAACGCAAAACATAAATGCACGCCGACGTGAGCTGTACTGCGATCGCATATAATAAGCTCAGACGTTATATCCGAACCTCTGCAGCTGCAGACGCGTTGGCGCATTTATAGAAGTACAATGCCCAACATATCCGGCCGATCGTCGACTATAAATATCGAGATTTATCTCGATTAAAGTGCACGACCACAACATCCGCATGCAAGGAAATGATCCTGCGCGCTCGCATGTGTTCTTTTCTCATTTCGCGCGCATGCTTTGCATACTTGCAATTATAGCGCAATAAATATCCCTTAAACCTATTGCAGAATTATAAATATCTATTATGCTGAATCTGATTATATCTGTCATTATTATATATTTATAACTGCAGTAATCGATTCATAAAATCATTTTATAGAAGCGTTCATCAAAATGTATATTTCAGCGATTTATTCTAAAATAATCTATTAGAATAGATATCAGAATAAAATAACATTTGTCCTGAGAGCTTTATTATCTTTATAGTAAAAGCTACGTATTCATTTTTGAGTTTCAGTAATGATAACCTGATAGAATAATTCATACAGGTTACAAACATTTATTTTGTTCATCGCGCGCTATATACGCATATCGGAGGATGCAGCCGGGGTAATCCAATAAAGTCAATTATTCTATAGGGAATATTCCATTGTAGGAATATCGACGAATCATCGACGGCAGCGGGTGACTCGCTTTGTAGAAGGGATTGCGAAAGAACGAAAAAATCAAATTTTGTTGAAATTTCGGTGCAGATCGACGGTGGTGCGACGTGCTTGAACTTTTAACTCAGCTAGAAACCGACACGTATGCGTACTTCCCAATGCGAGCAATGTCTAATACGTTCCAAAGGTAAGAACTATCGAGCTAAACATTTTTCTGATCAAAGTTCACCTCAAATAGAAATACGAGTGTATCGGAGAAACGTTGAGTTGAATCGTGTTAAAATATATGAAGCCAGAAATGGAAATAAATTCCCAGTAAGATTTCTGTAGATTTAATGATACAATTGAAGATCGATATTTCTATTATTGTATCGGACCTATTATCATAGATTTGTGACTATTATTTTAAAATCAAGTAATAGCGTGAATAATAAATGTGTATGTGTGTGTGTGTATTATATATATATTTTAACCTTTTGTTGCAATTTGACTTAACTTCTGTCGCTAATTAAAGGCCGATCCAGTACAAAGTGCATTGAATATTCTAACGCGTAACATGAGTTAATTGACGTTTGATGCAAATGGCCTCTAATGAGATTCCGCAAATCGTTTTCAAATAATCATTCACATAGTACTCGATATCGAATTTCGAAAGTGGGTTTCCACAATGCATGTGCTGGAAAATTCATGCGTGCAGTTTGCTATTAGGTTACATGTCGAAGTTACAAAATCTAGAAGATAGTATTGATAATTTTTTTAACTTGGTGGCATTATTCTAAAAACAATGTAAATTTAATTCTAGTGTTCTATTTGGAATATTCGTCCATTATTCATTCATTTAAACAGTACCATAAGCCATCCATAAATATTATACAATAATCATGATATATATACCAGTTATACATTTTGTATTAGCAATTCTATAAGGTTATCCGATGATATATGATAAGTTTTCAGACTATTTTGAATCTTTTATTTTTTTCAAAAAATCGATTGCGTCGGAATAAACGACAAAAAATTTATTTTGAGTATTTCTGTCTGTCATTAAAAAATAGTATTTTAACATTTTGTAATAATGTATAAATGAATAAGTTTTGAGAATCTGAAGAATATTTATTGCTGAATATTTTTTTTTCATAGAATAAAAATTGAATTTTTGTTTTCAATTTCATGATCTTTTTTATGTGAGAAGCATCATTTTTTATTTACTTTAACAGCTAGATTTAATGTATATTGACTTTAATAAAAGTTAAAATAAGTTAATTTTACAATTTTAAATTTAACACAGCTTTTAATTTTATTAAGCGATAATTTTTTATACCGTTTGTATAAAATATTCCTATAATCCCGTACTTTTCTATTTATTTAGATAATGTATAACTTACATATGAGTTATACATACTATATTCGATCAAATTTATTGTAAATAAGAATAATACACAATACACACAATACATACTAGTCATACCTGTACAACCTCATAGTAATTATTGATTTTGTTTGGCGTCATCAACAATGTATATCTTGCATTTATAATTACAACCATTCAAACATTCAACATACGTGAAAATTACAACAAGGTAACAATGTTATTTATATAACTTGTATAATTTGATTCTCTGTAATATTTTATACGAATGGTTACGCGATATACAGTTATATACAATTTTCAACCGCAACATACGGAAATAAATATATAAGTAACTCTTTCATTCTTTTATAAATATCATTGTTTATTTAAAACAATTTTGACATAATCTGTCGCGAACACTAAATAAAAATATTAAACTTAGTCCCAGTAAAAAAAAATTGCGTAATTATTTCTCATTTCTAAAATTCAAAAAGCTACAAACAGCTAACAACTTGCATACGTCCTTCTTTTCGTCTAACAAGCGCCATTCTTCGGACAGAGAGGAAAACATGTGTGCGCATAAAGATTCAAGTGGTTTCTCTTCATCAAGATCGGGTCAACGGACGAATATGCTAACGACTCCGTGGGGTTAATGAGTCTTTTGAGCGGGGCTACTCTCTTGTCGCACGGCTCTTCAGTAGACTAGCCAATCGCGGAACTACGTCAGGAACTCGTGACTTGAAGAATCTGCGGAAGACCTACTTCGACAGACATGAGAAGGAAATGCCGCCTTGCATGACGCTGCTGATAATAAACACCGATTTGTCAGTTTTATAATTGAAGCTTGATATAAGATAACTATACTTTTTTACTTAAAAAAAAAAAAAAACGAAAAAAAGTTTAAAATAAAAAAAATTGTAACGAAAGGATCAGACTAAATGTATACATTCTACTTGATATTATCAAGATAATATTTTCTTTCATAATAAAAGAAATTCTAAAATAGAAAAGATAATCTTAGAAATCAGAACGTCTGGGCTAACATATAGATAATGTATGAACTTAGACATTGAATTATTCACATAATTTGTAGAGTCCACGTTAGATATAATAAATTTAGTTAAAATGTATGTTACAAGTGAAAATATTTGATTCATTTTAATTCTGATCATTTCTCATGTAAATAGAATGTTAAATAGAATGTCCTTAGAGATGTAATGTGATTGCGTACGAATTGTATGTAGATATATTCAACAGGAAAGACCGGAAAGTACAATATGAAGGATTAACCTAGTACCAGCTTCAGTAGCAAATTCTCGCAGAATGCACTCTAGTAATGATACATACAATGTTCAAGAGTAATATCATATTACGTTAAAATTCATGACCCGAGCTTCTTCATAGCTATTTAGAAAAAAAGAAAAAGAAGATATCAGCGGCGTAAAAAAGCGGGTTTGCATCGGAAAACTTCGCACCGCTCCTAATTTCCCTATCTCGATAAAAAAAAAAAATACAATTTATATCTCGGTCGACAAAGCGAGTGTTCTTTTTGACTGGTTATCGCGTGCCCATCTGGCTCCGTTCATTGCTTCAAAGCAGACGAAGCCGGTAGGAAGCCACGCGAATGCAAATTAATGTTCGAATGTTATACGCGCGATAGGGGAGCGTTATGGCGCCGCGGCGAAACGCGGCGCGTTTACGTCAGCCTGGTCGGTTCGCCGTTCCTTTATCTTTATCGCCGCGGGAACGGCCGAGGAACCAGACTGTCGAGAACTGACTCCGCGAGTTCGTTTTCGTGGTGGCTGCACCGGCGCGCTCCTCTCTCTGAAACCGCGCCCCTTTCCGCATAATGAGCTCGTTTGTATCGCCTTTATTGGGGAAAGAGACGGGGGTATATTCCTGCTCCGAAGAGAGAGAATTTTCTTCCTCTTCCTTTCTTTCTTATGTTACTCCGTCGTGTGCCGACATACTTCTACGTTTTCGAGCACCGCGCCATTAAACCGTTCGAGATTCTCGCAATTCTCGCAAACGATGTTTAAATGTATCATGACCCATATGCGAGTTAGTTAAATGCTTCAAGAATATTTTTGCGTATATTATACTATATATAGTATATATTATTGAAATACTAGTTTATAATATTTGCGAACAGACATCAAAATTGCACCGATATATTCCACGAAATGGACAGTTTCTGCAATTAAGCGGGCGATTTTCTAGCTCGATTTTCATAATATTTGCGAACAGACATTAAAATTGCACCGATGTATTCCACGAAATGGACAGTTTCTGCAATTAAGCGGACGATCTTCTAGCTCGCTTCGTAATATTTAATTAGTAACTCAAGTACCGCAGATGAAATCTCTTTAGTTGAAAATATATCGCTAGCGTTGTAAAAAAAAATCTTCGCGATTATTAAAGTTTATTTGCTCTCTTGCAGCATGGGTTTCCTCCCTCCATATTTTTCATAAAAAAAGAATAAAGTTTAAATTCTCGAGTAGCGCGCATAGCGAGAGTTCGATGAACTCGTGAGATAACACGGAAGGC